TGTTACTGATGTTGCTTTCTGTTTTAAAATAAGTATGGGTTATAATAACTTCTATCATTTCAAATATGGTCTTGGAAAGGATGATGCATTTGGTTAAAAGACTTTTAAAAGACTTTAATTATGCTTTTTATAGAACACTAGACAGTTTGCCCTCTGTTCTCACAAATCCTTCATTGACATAGTAAAAGTCATCTGGCAGTGAGTCCAGTATGTCAAGTTAATGAACATAGTGGGAGGACTCCTACAGATGTCTGCAGCAGCTAAGTGCCATAAAAGGTTTATAGAAGGCATGTGGGCCTCGGCTGAAGTGAGGGTTGGCTTTACATTAGTGTTCTCTTCCTCCTTTGCTGCTGCTGTTGGTCCAAACTCAGGAAAACAGTTAAGCATATATTTAAATCCATCTTCTTGCAGAAAAAAAAAATCCTTAAGCACATGTTTAATTTGAAGTCAATTAGACCTAAAGAAGTTAAGCATATGCTGAAGTGATTTGCTGAACATGGTTATTTCTTCTTCTTTTGATCAAAACCAAAACAAAGCTGATTTATCATTTGTGCATTCCAGTAGCAAGGAAAAGAGCTGTTGGAGAGCTGCTATTCCATAGCTCTGGAATTTCAAAAATGAGTTTGCAGAAGAGTCAAAGGTGTAGATAAAAATATCAAACAGCATGAAAGGAAACCCTTTAAGGATGAATAAATGGGAGTTTTCCTATTTATATCATGTGATAACTGAAGCCAGGCTTTTCGCTGAAGCGTCCATTAGCAAAAATTGGAAGGGTACATAGCCTGTCTGCTTGGAATTGGTATTCAGATGAAGTTGTTTGCTAGGAACAGTTTTCTCCTTTATGCGTTATGAAAAACGATATGTTTGTCAGGAATAGGTGTAACAGCAATAACAAGAAAGATTTAGCATCTCAGAGGCAGCTTCCTGAAAGTTGGCTTTTCACAGGAGAACCGTTCTAAGACCTTCCAAATCTTGGAAGAGGTCTTTTAACTTGAGAGTTACTTAAAGTTATGGTGGAATTATAATACCTTGTAGTTACATAATGTATGCAAGTCCTTCCTCTACCTGGTTTTATTTCTATAGCTTTTATTTTGCAATGGCTGTTTCCAGTTCTGTTTCTGGTCACCCTCGTGAAATTTCTTTCTCGGGGACACACTAGGACTTGAATATTGTTATATGGTTGCAACTTTTTTTTGTGTAACATAAGAAAGCCCTAACTAGTGTGTATAATAAATGTAGACAACACCAGTCTTCCCAGCTTCTTCAGCACTGTGTGATCTTGGCTCCTACGCGTCCCCTGCAGATCTAATAAGCCAATATTAATTTTGAGGAACCTGGAACATCTTGTAGGGAGAACCTCTGATTCCAGTTACTTCTGGAATCACAAAAGTGTGTGTGGTTTTTTTTTTTGTTATTTATTTTTTTCCCTCTCTCTTATGGCTGTTTCACTGTCTTGCTATCACAGAACACTTTTTCTTCTAAAGAGTGGTTGTCTCTAGTCCAAAGCCTGTGCCCACATACCCTCTGGTTGCAGCGTTACGACGAGGGCAGCTCCAGGCGCAGTTGTAGTCCTGTGCTACTGAAAGCAATGCCAGCTCCTCCGTCTCCTTCAGGATGTTCCCAAGTTCATTGGTCTAAATATTCAAGGCACTTGAAATTATTCCTGTCCGTACAGATTTTTAGCTTTTCCTTTTAACCGTCAACTCCAGCCAGGCAGATAAGTAAAGAGAGTAATTATTAATAGCTTAGACTACTGGGATTAAAAAAAAGGTGCATCCTTCACCATTCAGCCAACTGAAAAAGAGAATATTTGGCTTGTTAATGATCTCTTGGCTCTGAAAGTTTTTCCTCTTTGCACTTCACGGTTCCTACAATTCAGCTCCCTTTTCTAAAGGGTTTGAAACTTTAAAATTTTTCATTAAAGTTCCAAGATCAAAGGTATATAGCAGGTTTGATTTTGTTTTATACCACTGTCAATACTTGAATTTCCTTCCCTGTAAAATAAAGGAAGGAAAAAATAAAGGAAACAGTGCTTATAAATATATATATATATGTAAAAATATGCAAGAAGCCTTTGAAAATAAAGCACTGAGTTTTCTTTGTTTGGGAAGATGCATGCTGCTTCATTAATAGCTAGGAAGCTTCCCTTATAGATGTTGTTATCCCACTTAACGTGTTTACCAGTGTTAGGCTGCTAAGCCCACGTTTTGGCAGTGCGAGATGCCACGCGCACACCAGGGCCGCTCTCCGCATCCCTTGGCTGTCCTGCTGTCGCAGCTGCACCCGCGGCTTGTCCTTCCCAGGATTACCACTGTGCTGTCGTGCTCTTGGAGATCGTCCGCACGTCTAGATCAATATAAAAATCATTCTCCTTGCAAAGGAGAACATGCGAATAGCTGGGAAGTGGCCGCTGGTGAGGTCTATAGATGCTGTTTCCTGAGAAACAGCCCCTTTTCAAGTCCCATCTTCTACATCTGGTCACAAGGATCAAAAAAAGCTGCCATACTGGCAAAAGATACGTACATGACAAATGAGTTGGTTAACGGTAGCACCTCATCTGTGGTTCTTTATAGGTCTGCAGCCAATTAAGTGATACCTGGTTTTGAGCAGATGGTTTCTGAAATCAGAGAATAACCAAGCCAATTGGGACAAAATTTAGTGGTTGCCTCGAGGGTACGAGCGTAAACTGACACTGGAGAAAGAATGGCACAGTAAAAAAATAATGGAATGGGCTTACATTGCTGTCATTTTCTTTTCCTGCCTTTTTAACTACTCAGTGACATCAAGAAGTCATGGAAGGCTGAGTTAAGATTATGCAACTTTCTTTCTGCGTTATGTTGAGCTGAATTGACTACCAGTGTTACCTGAATATATTAGTGTGTGGAGCCACCAGGGAAGCAAAAGCTGTTTAATGAAGACAAAATAGCAAACAAGCAGTCAGCATTTTACTAATTATGGAGAGTTGTTGAGCAATCACTTTCTCACTCTTCTGAAGACTGCAAATGACCATAACTGTCAGATAAACCTGAAGGTTGCCGCGTTGGTAAAGTCTGTCTTGACGCTGATTTTATGCACGATAATAATACAAGATTCAATTAAGTGTGAATGGTTTTATGGCTGCTGATGATTTGTGGGTGTGTGTGTGTATATATATATACACATGTATATAAAATAGAAGCAAGTTACTAGCTGGCGGCTGATCAGGGCTAGCTTCTGCCACAGCTGTGGTTTGTTTGCCATAGAGTCAAAGCTGTGTGCCACGGGGTGGGCAGGAAGTAACTGGAAGGGTTATTGATCTTAAGGTAATTTTCAGATATGATTTAATTGCTGCGACTCCCTGAGCTATATGTATTTTAGATTCAAGCAAAATTCTGGGACCATGAGTAGCAAGAACATAGTGGAATCCATTGCCTCCTTTCTTTGTTTCTCTTCTTTTATAAACAGGTAGGTATGTCTGTTCCATCTTTCCTGTCTTGCATCTTTCTCATGTAACGTCTGACAATGAGGTATTTATTCAGAGAAGATCTAAAAAGATCTTTATGTTCTTAGCCACTGATGCACTTAGGGTTATGGCATTTATTTCACATGACAGTTCATTTATTCATAACCCCATTGAAAAAAATCTCTTTCTGGCTGAAATTATTTATTCTCAATCAAAAAGTAATATAGAAAAGCTAAAAGATATTCAAGAATCTGTTTATAGGGTTCAGTATCACTAAATATTGCCCCCAGATTCCTAGCATGTATCAGACTTTGCATTGCAAATAGAATTAAAAAAAAGTTACCAAAGCCTTGCAGTACTGTACTCACTGATATGTATTGGAAGCTTTTTTAGGACTCTTGTCCTACATTGTGATCAATACTTGCATAACTGCACAACTGCAAGTAATTAATACAGATATGATCACAGCTGTTGTGGGAAAAAAAAAAATCCCCATGGAGCAGTCAAGTACTTTTGTTTAGCTGTGAATTTTTAATTTTGATATCTCAAGATAGTACATTAGGAAAAGCTTGCTGTTTTAACCTGTTTGTCAATTCGTTCAGCACTATAACCTACAATTAAATACTCTTCAATCCTTCCTATCTTGTTCTAATAGCATGTTAATAACCTATTGCTTAGGTTGCAAAGTCTCTGTGAATGGCTGCATGTAGAGCAAGAGATGCTGAACTCTAAGTGACGACTGTCGTGTGGAGGGGCTGGCTGAGACTTTGCAAATTCAGAGGTTAAGAGCCGAGCTTCCTAAACTGCCAGCTTCTTGGGTTAGAGCCACGCTGCTTTTCTGCTGTAAACCTTTCTTTTTCTTATTGGTAAAGTGCTGGCTTTTGAAGCAGAAGGGAGCATATGGTATGATCTGCCTAGATGTATGTACCTTTAAAACCACTGCAGAGGACTATGCAGGTGCTATGCTGTACATAGGAAGAGAGCACATAGGTGTGTGTATCCTGCAGAGCGAAAGTATGTTTGAAAGACAGTTTGAGAGTTGACTTTCACCAGTCCAAACACCAGTGAAGATTGATATGGCAGCTTTGGTGTTGCTGAAACGCACTAGCAATTCAAATAAAAATCTACATGCAAGGAAACAAAATACTTGGTGAAACTGCATCAATTGGGAAACTTTTCAGATAGGAGTCGTGGTTTCAAAGCATGCAGGGCTACAGGAAGCTGCTGTTGTTTACTAGTGAGACCATTTCCTCAAGATCGATTTGAATTTGAGAGTGTGCCACAGTGGGCAGGTTGCTGAGACAGCAGTGCTGACAGAAAAGCTTTTTAAGACCTTGAGAGACTACTGATGAGCTACTGCAGTACTGCAGAGCTGGGAAACCAAGCCAGCAAATAAAATGCAGATATTCGTATGCTGCTTTTAACTGCTGGCTTTCATAGACTTCAAAATGCAGCACTGAATCTCTGAAGCTCCTTTAGAGAATTTCATGGACCATCATACTAGTTTTTTATGTGAATAGAAAACACAGATGGTTAGCCTGGCTCATCTGCTGCTTGGTTTCTTCAAGGTTTATGTTCAAATTTTACATGAAGAACGTTATTTTTGTATTTAATAATACAGTGTCCCTGACAAAAGTGGTTTATCACCTTGGATGTCATGTAAGACAGAATAAAAATTCCTTGGAGGTACCTAGTGTATCACCAAGCATTGGACATGGCGCTAATTTAGTTTTGAGGTAACAAAAGTACGAATAATGGAAATGAGAACCTGCTTTGGAGGTTTTGGTTTTTGGAGGTTTTGGAGGATGCTTGCTCCATCTTATTCAGAAACAAATGAAATAAATTAGTGCTGTCAGAACTAAAATTTGTGATCGTGCAACAGTAATTTAGGTTTAACATTTTAGCCTTTCACATATTCCTTTCCCCTGGAGGAAAGGAAGACAAGTGATGATGGATTCATCTCTAACTGCAGAGAAGTTGTGGACATTTGTTTTGCTGTTCTGACTTAACACCTTTTTAGAAGCATAAAAATATATGATCGCAGCCTTGACGTGTTAAATTATTACCGAAGTATTAAAGCATGAATGAAAATGATGCATAGAGGCGGCAGGTAAAACGTGTCCTACTGAAGGCAAAGATACTTTTCCCACTCATCTGAAGAGTGACAGAATTTCACCCCTCAGGTACTTTACTTTTTGACATATCCCAGTGTTGTTACCAAGGCAGTCGACTTTTCAGGAAACTTAAACATTAAAATAAGGTGTTTTTTGTGTGCGCACGCACAGCACGGGAGGCAGTGGTGCTAATAGCTCTCCTTTGGTCTTGGTCAGAGCAGGGGCTCTTTGAAGTGCCTGTTGAAAGCTGCTCCTGTGTCAAGCCTGATCCAAATGCTCTGTGGACTCAAGCCTGAACCCTGTCCATGGGGATTCCCATGCTACTTTCCTGCCCAGCCTGCTGGGTGTTTAGGAAGATGGTGTGTTTTCTTAACACTAGAAGATGTGGAAAATGTGCTGAGGCTTGCTGAAAGGAATTTAAAAGGAAATATTTTTGTCTTGGCATGTAGCACAGTTGTAAAAAGAATCATTTTGATGACATCCATCTGTTGCAGATTAAAATAGGTTGGGATTCGTGATTGTGAAGTGAGTTAGCGCAGCACGAATTAAAGAGCCACTGAAATAAATGTATTGAAATACATTGCTTTGTCGATCAGGATTAATATGTTGCAAGTGGGAGGCTTTTAGCATACTCTTGGGGTACAAAAGAATGGTTTTCCCGCGTGTTTCTGGCGTCAAGGTGAAATAGGAAGAGAAATGGGTGCAGCCCAGTTTGGAGGTGTTTGGGCACCAGCCCTGTGGTGTGCGTGTCCTCTGGAGCTCTAAGCAGGCCCCCACAAAACAAAACAGGCTTTTGCAGTTACTTACTGGCTTTCTGAAACACACTCCTACTCTATTTATTTTATATGGAAATTGCTGCTGCCTCTGCGTGGCCCCCAAAGCTTATTCTCGTTAAAGGTCAATTCCGTTGCAGGATGTTTTTGCTCCTGGCACCAGCAGTTGCATTAGTAGCCTGCGTGTAGGTTCCTGTGTGGGTGAACATCGATGTGTGCTAGTTTCAAATAGTCTGTGCAATTGCATGCTGTAGTTGTAAGTAAAGGCAGGAATGGCTGAAGAATTTCATGTTCCTTTGCTTTACCATAAATCCCACAACCTAGCTGAAAATAAAACTTTTTTTTTTTTTTCCTCTCTCTCTTACACTGCCTATAAGCCCTAATGGGGCTTTAATGTGAATACATGGGCACAGGCAGTTTAGAAGCGAGCATATTTGTAACATTATCCTGGATTTAGATGCTCAGACTTGAGCACTTCATCCGCTTTGTTGTAGGGTTAGCAACAGTTGCGGGGCTGCCCAGTTTTTTTGGTTTTTCTTTCCTTTATCACACCCTGCTTTTGTGTCCCAGCTGATAAAATAGATCCACAGGACTAAGCTCTTGGATATCTGTCTTTCTGTAGCATGCAACTGCATTCTGTGTGTGTGTGTAAACATAGATTGTAGTTATGCAACTGTATGCAAGTGCAAATCCAAGGCTAATTAATATTTTCTTCAAGTAGAGAAACCAATAATGTGATTGGTCACTTATTTTACAAAATTTTGAGTGTGTATATAACAAATCAGAAAACTATTGCTATTAAGTTGATCTATTTTCTTCATTGTTAATGTTAATTCCTATGACTTCTTTTTTCTTTGTCTCTTGCTCAATTTTTGAACTTGAGCAATTATTGCACTATATTTTCTTGGTCTGGCAGATTTATATTTCTTTTGTGACAGTACTGCCTTGTCTGCATATATTGAGTGGTGGAGATATAATGCAAAGTCAGTTTTCGTCACAATTTTGTGCTTCTATGGCATCAAATGTGGAAACCTTTGCCTGTGTTCAAAGTGTGGTCACTTTGAAGGAGGAGATAACAAGAGGGTTTTTCTTGTCTTTTTACAGTCTGACAGCAATGCGAGCTTCCTCCGAGCTGCAAGAGCTGGCAACCTGGACAAAGTAGTGGAATACCTGAAAAGTGGAATAGACATTAACACATGCAATCAGGTAAGACATTAGAAGGGCCAAAGTTTGCAACAGTGAATTCTGGAGAACTTCCTTCTCCAGAAGGAAGGTTTTAAAGGCTGGATTACTTCATATAGATGTCTTAATTTAGCTGAAGTTATGTTTTCAAGGTAATTTTTCAATGGCACTATATAGGTAGCTGATAGCGCCCAAAAACTTTCTCTGATGTTTTTAGTAAAAGTTTATGTAAGCCTTTTGGAGATCCTCTTTCTTGCTGGTGTATTGCAGATTTGGATATGTAAAGTAGTGAGTTATCTATATTCAAAACTGAAGTTATGCTTTGGTAAGGCAAACCTAAGGAAGCATTGGCTTCACCCTGTTGTGAAGTTCCAATTTCAGCTGAAACAATGAGCGCTGAATAAACCTGTATTCCTCAAAACACTCACACCATGCTAACATTTGCATTCTAGCCAAGGAAAATATAGTATCCTTTGGATGTTGGTTAAAAAACGATAAAATATGCCTGGGTATCGAGGTGAGAGTTGTGGGCATTCCTGCTGGGTTTCTTTGCAGGGGGCTGCTTTCTGGATGTCGCGCCGTGGGCGAAGGCCCCCCTGCCTCTGCAGCGCTGCTACCTTTGCAGTGCTGCGGCAGGGTGCAGCAGCACTTACTGCCTCAACGGGAGCCTTGTGAAGCTCCTCAGCCTCATGTGTCCCCTAGTCACTTAGTTTTCCTTCCTGTGCCGGTGGCCTGTCCTCCTTCTGCTGCTCTGTGTAACTGTCTGCCAATACTCAGGTTCTTTGCTCTCTGTTAGGCTTTGTTGTTTGTTAATTGTAACAAGGCGCGGGCCTGCACCTAATAGACACTTGCCATTTTAATGAAAGATGATTCTTTCCAAAGAGAAAGTGTTACAACAAACTGACAGATGAGCAGATGGTGGCAGTGAGATGACTATGATTAATAAGTTGGGCAGCATGCCAGCTGTCAGTTTGTAGCTGTTGTGAAGCCACCTTTCCTGGTGTCTGCCCAGGTGTATGGAGAAGGTAAAATAAAGTTTCACGTGGCTTTTTGCACTCATGCGTCTAAAGGACAGTGTAGATTGGGATTGTTGGCAGGGCGGTGGAGGAAAGCCATGTATGAAACAAGTTGACGCGTACGAAACGTAGAAAATGCATACTGGTAAGAACATTGCTTTGGAGTTTCCAAGCCAGCTGAGTCTGAGGAAATAGGAAAAGAGAAGTTGGTAGGGAAAACGTTTTTCAAACAGCAATTTGCAAAGATGATAGCGGTAGCCTTTGAGTAGATTTAAGAACTGAGTTGCAAAATGTTCCTTAATCACCTACTGAATTTTTGTATGAAGGTCATTTCTTCTGGTATCCATTCACTTACTATTATTCATTTGGTGTTATGTTTAAATTCTGTAGCCCAGGAGTGTTTTTAGAGTCTTGGGTTTCTTTCTTCAGAAAAAGAGTGCTCTTGTAGGGCTGTCTTAAAGACATTATGATAGCAAAAAATAATTAAAAAACATCTTGACAGCCTACAGGTTTGAATTTTGAAAAAAAAATAGAATTTCTACTTTTCTGAAATAACTTATCAAGGTCCTATTGCAATATAGTCATATAAATTTCTCCAGAATAATGAGATGTGTTCTGGGTTTTCACTTTTTTACTTTGTTTTCAGGGATTTTTATTTTTATTGCTTGAATTACTCATAAAAATAATGTGAATGCTGGGGGAATGGGATAGCAGTTGAATAATTTATGCCAAAAAAGAGCTGATTTTGACCAAATAAATTGATAAACTTGCATATTATCCATGGATTTTGTTAACATGTATTTTAATTCAAATAATTCAGTTAATGTTTTAGTAAACACTTTTGAAAAAAGAAATATTATTTATGTATACACAATACACAATGCAGTATGAAAATTTTTTTTTTTAGTTTAATTTTGTTCTGTATCTTGGTGATGTCACCCAAGTATCACCAGAGTAAGTTAAAACAGAAAAAAAGCTTCAAAATATGTGTTTTAATGAATAAGAGAAAGATACTGCCATGGGTGAGTCAGATCCCTCCCCCATCACTCCTATCACCTTCATGTTCTGATTTAACCAAGAACATTGCTGTTTTGGGCAGAGTAATTTTCAGCTGTATCACATTTGGAGCTCCTTTGTCCTGTAGGAAATGTGCAGGGATGGAATATGTTGGTACTAGAAAAGGGAAAAAAAGAAGCTATAGCCAAAAGTAAAGGAGTCCAAGATTTTATTTTTGGTAGAAAGAGTAAGAACCCCTGATGCAATTTGAAATGTTTGTTTTTCTGAATGAGTTTTAGGCAAGTCCTTCAGTAGGATGCTGTAGACCATTTTTATAATGGTTTTGATGATAAATTCTCTAGTGCCTGGAATCCAAGTTTTGATCACTTTACCTATGAAGCCTTCTTGGAGAAACACACCTTTTGTCTTCCTTTGGGATATCTGGAAGTCAACTGTATGAGAATGGCTAGTAAATGGCTTTAACAAAACTGCGATAGGACTAGTGGGCATGGCAGGAAGATGTCCTCTTGCAAAACATACATTTATCTTATAGAAAGGTCATTAGACAGCGCATTATAAAAGCTTCATATATCACGTTGTGCCATATAGTCAGCCAGGTCATTTTCCTTAGCTTTTAAGTACCCCATCCCACGCGCAGCACCTGATGCCCAGTGACCTGAGATGCGGAAGTCTGAGGTTTCCCATGCTATTTTTGTGAGATCTCAGCCTGTAAATAAACAGTCGGTGGGTGGTTATTTTTAGCAGACTAACTTGTGCCCAAGCAGATAAAACTCCTAGGGCTCAGTTGCAGAGTGTCTAGTCAGGTGACAAGTAGCCATGCGGTTTGGGTTAGCCCCGGATGGCTGGAAGGCAGCTCCCCTTTTACCACAGGTGGGTGGTGTGAGGTGCGGGGTGGCCACGGTGCCCTAGGGAGAACCAGGCAGACCCCCTGGGCGCGAGCCAGGCTGTGTTGCATGGCCTGGGGTGAGGGCATAGGGCACAGAAATACAGAGGCCTAGCATGGGAGTTTGGGGTGTTCAGCACTACAACTTGGCCGTGGTGTGCTCCCAGTCTTCAAGTCCTGAATTCCCTAAGAAATCGTTAACTGCATGTTCCATTTTAAAACTGCACTTAAATTCTATTTAGTTTAAGTATGTGGTTAAGTGCTAGTCTGAAGAAGGCCATTTTCCTGAAATGGAGCATTTTACTATCTAAATGTTATCTATATAGAGTGATTGAAACCTGCCGATGCCACCAAGAAAACCACAGCAAAATTTCTTGCTCCTTTCCTGATGCTTCCACGCTGACATTCAGATTAGAAAATGTCTTTTTTTCTCCTTTGTTTTTTTTGAATGTTCATTTTAAATGATAAAAATGTTAGAAAATGTTCATTTAATGCTGGCTATGATGGATGGTGGAATGTCAAAACTAATTAAAACAACACAGTTGTGGCCACTGTTTATTGCTTTAAAAAGAGTGGAAGGATAAGAAATGAAATCATCTAAAATATTTTGAGCCATTATCTTTACTGCTGAGGAAAAGCTGCAGATGATTAAAGCAGTCGTGTGTCAAATGGAAGTTGGGGTATTAAAATGAAAAATGTTCTGTTGCTGTCAGTGCCAAGGAAATTAATGAAGAGCAGGAGAAAACCTGGGACACTCTATGCTCTTCATATTGAAAACATACAGAAAAAATCCTAGCTTATTGTCTCAAAGAAAGTCATCTTAAAAAAAAAAAAAAAAAACCTGCTTTGATGATGAAGATGTGTTATATGGGGCAAAATTCTAAAAAATTCAAGTTTGCCAGTTAGGAGAGTGCAAGTCTAGAGGCAAATTCTCATACGCGTATCTGGAGTGTACTTCTCATAAGTATTTTTAAATAGATCTAACCATTTTTAGTCTTGATGATAAAATGCCCCTCAAGACAGAGCGCACTTAATGTAATAACCCCTTGGAAGCATTGACGATTATCTTTTTTAACCTCTCCGAAGTTCACGTCCTCCTGCTTACTGAGTGAGGAATGCTCTTGGACTAGGGTTGCTGCAGAGTTGTCTTCTGAGGGAAGTCCTCTCCTTCTGCAGCTGACTGAGTCCTGCTTTCATAATGTTTCTGGATACATGGAAAGCAGGGATTAGTTATTAGTTTTGGTGCATTATGGTATCCTACTTCCAGCTCATATCAAGTTAAGATAGTATGAAATTGCTTCCTTTAATCTAAAGTCAAGCACTATTTTGAAAATCAGGTCAAGCGTATTTTGAAAATCATAAATTGGTGATACTTATTTCTGGAGATAGATTGAAAAATGTCTGTAGACAAAATTCCCCTGGTTTAGTTTGTTTGTTTTGTTTTAAACTGGGCAAAAAGCTTATAGATCATGGAAACTTCTGATTCGTTTAAAGCTATTTTCAATGTGTTATAAGACTTTTTGTTTGGGATTTGATTGCTCTTTGTAGTTCATGCACCCAGAGAAAATGATTTGCTTCTAAAGTATGTGAATCAATGTTCAAAATGCAGCAGAATGAGCTCTGATTTTACAGTATGTGTCTGCACAGCATTTACTCTGGCAGCTCTAGCAGTCCTAGCACAAGATATGCACACAGACCTGATGAACCTGAGGGTATATCAGTTACTCACTGTGTTTTAAGAGAGAATTGATAATCCAAAATGCAGTAACATTTCCTCGCTATGTCTTTGGCAGTTGGTCAGCTTTCAAAGCATTACAAGTCATTTACTTAGAAGGGAAAATGAATGGTGACTTTTTGGCATTTGCTGTGATGCAGTCTTCTGTATTCACATGGAAAGTGATTCCAAGTCTGGTACCTACAACAGAATGGGTCCCAAACATAAGATAAAGATATCTGGGGGGGACGGGGATGTTCACAGAACTGTTTGGCTTTTGCTTTGGATTTGGTAGTTTTGTTAGGACTTGGTTGCTTTCCTTATTGCTTGAGTTCGTGAGACATTGGACCAGCTACAAATTACTCCTTGCTTTGGTCCAAATGAGAGGCAGCTAACCCTCCCACTAGTGCTAACTATAGCCTGTGCTAACTAAGTAGCACAGGGGTCAGAATGAGGTTGCTAATATCATACGTTGCTGATAGCTCAGGAGGTTAATTTGTTTTCATGAATTCTCAGGCTATAAGGCAACTTAAAAGAAGAATTTTCATAATTGGAAATCATTTTTTTTCTTCTTTTACCACTTTCTCCCCAAAATATAACAAAGACAGAAACTTCAGTGCACTTCTGGAGTTCAGAAATTGCCCGACTCTCTAATGTGCCCTTTTCCAAATCCTTGAAAAGAGGCTTGGCCACATGCCCTTTTCTCTTTCCCAAGAGATTGGCTCAGAACAGAGAATTTACAGTCAGCATAGACTGGTGTCTGTTAAGGAGATGTAGAAAAATTGTAAACTTTAAGCCTATGATATTGTGTTTTAGTTTCAGCCTCCGTTGGTGAGTGCAGGTGCCTTCTTAAGGCAGCAGTGGGGCTCCTCAGGCTCTATGAGTTCGTTCTCATTCTCCCTTCCAGTCGTTTGCTAGCCATATCTCTAAGGGTTTCTCTAAAAATGCACTTGAAGAAACTATAGAAGTAGTGATGAATCAGAACAAGCCTGCATATATGTACATATATATGTGTATATATGTATGTATTTTTTTGGTCTTGCAGCTGACAACTGTGTTTTTGCTGGTCTCTGGAAAAACATGAAGGCATTTTTCAGATCTTGCACCCTTTTCTAACTAGAAAAAAAGTCTTAATAACAATGAAGTTTATAAACACAGCAGCAGTGGAGCCAACTTGATAAAAGTTCATTGCATTTAATGTTTCGAGTGAATATCAAAATGTTTAAAGTTGAATTTGGAAGTTGTTTCAGTAATAAGTGCTGCTTGTCTTTTAGCATAAAGGAAAGAGGAGGGTTAATTCTTTTTATTTACATTCCTGACAAAGATCTTAAGTACTTAACGTATACCTTCTGACTGAAATAAACTTCAGGGAGTTAAAAATGTTAACAGAATCATTATATTTCACAAAAATTGTTTTCTCTTGTGCAAAGGTCAATCTGAAGTAACACAAGTAAATATTCACTTGTGTGAAGTTTTTCCCTATTCCTTAACACTTTCTTCCTCCCACCTTTTTTCCTTTTTTTGTGCTTCTGAGTAACTCTCCTGAGCAGAAGGTGAGTAAAGCTTCTGGGACTAACAAGTTTCCATCTATGCCAGTGACGGCTAAGCTGGGACAGGAGTGGGTAAAAGCTCCTGCGGTGCCTGTATTGTCATTTTGGCTGTAGTTTATCACAGGAGCTGCAGTAATGCTGGATTACAGGAGCTGGAATAATGCTGGAGACATTGGGGCTGTAATTTGTCAGGCTTTTTTAAGGTGGCCCAAGTGTAGACTGCTGCAGAGGAGGTGGTGGTGGCCCTGTCCTCGCCTCTCGACTTGCCTGTGTGCATTGCAAGAGGCAGTTCAAAGGCAAAAGTGCCAGGAGCCTCCTTGGATGATTCTCAGATGATAGCAGTGCAGCTTAGTGGCAATCTTATTACAAAAGTGACTGAAATTGGAAAAGGTTTATGATTTCTAGGCCTTTGCAGGAAATTTGTAGGCTTTTCTGGTACAGTGAAAATACGTGGGGTGGTAGTAGCAAAAGCGTTGTGAGCAGCCATGGTGTGTGGGTTTGTAGCACTCCACGGGATGTGAAGTGCTGAGGCCTTTAGCTCAGGAGAAAAAGAACAGAGGAAGTAGGGTCTCCGCAGGAAACCCAGGAACGGCCTGGCTTGCAAGGCTTGGCATTAGGCTCTTTTATGAGTGTGAGAACTGCAAGTGAGCTCCTCAGAGAAAGGTACTTAGGGTACTTGAGTGCTTTGCGGGGAACAGCAGTGCACACGCTGTACGGTTTGGCTTAGCAGAAAATTAATTTAATCTCTCCCCACTCACCATTTTTGCTGGAGAGAGCAGGGCAGGGTTGGAAACCTTTGTTGCTCTGGTGCACAAAAATTTGTGTGGCAGGAGTGGGAGAGTTGCATAGATTTAATAGGAACTTCCATCGTCCTGAATAACAGGAATGAGCCTTGTGGGTTGGGAAATAATTGCAACTTTGTGAACATGAAGTAGCAAAGCTTGCTTTAAAGCTGCACTTGCACTGGCCTCGAATATTTGAAATACAATGCTTGCTTTTGCTATCTTACTTTGAAAGATAAGAGAAAATATGCATAGTTATAGTATTTGTGTACAATAAGAACTGTATTTAGGCTATAATTTCTTTTTAGGAGTCTTTTAACCCCATTTTATTAATCTTGTATATGTATCAGTGAATATGATAAAAAATCCTATTGCAAAGAATCTATCCAACACCCAATCTATACAATAATACTAGCTTCAGCTGCTTAATGTGGCTACATATCTTTAAATCAGCTGCTACGAATGCGTAGATTTGTATTTAAAACCATAAATACAAATATTTTAGAAATTTGCTGCTCTTCAGTCTCGTTTTCCCTATCCTGCCACCTGTGTTGAGGGGGATGTGCCACCACTGCCACCCCTGCCTTCTGCAGCCCAGCGGCAAGAAGGCTCCTCGAGGAGAGGAGGAACTTGGTTACTGCCCCTTGACCTGTGTGGCAGGATCAGAAACCACACTTCTCATTAGCTTTCCTAACTACCAGGCTGCATAGTGTTTTGTTTTGGCAGATTGTGAGTGTGTCCTTGCTTCAGTTCTCTTGCTTTCCTCAGAGCTACACTTCTGAATTTGGCCATAAGATGAGTCTGTGTTGCCTACATGAATGCAGAATTAAATGGAGTTACTTCAGAAATGAGTTTGGATTGCTGTGCCTGTAGCCACTGGACCGATTCCCATTAAATGTCTCCTGTGATGTGCTAAGTGCATTAAAATCACCCTGGGAATTGCAAGCTTGAATTGCATGTGAGGATGGACAAACAAAAAAGACCAGAAAGCTGCTTGTTTATTGCGTGATTCAAGTGACTATGAACTGCTTGGAGACACCTAAAGTGATAAAAAATATGCAGTGCTAAGCTTGGTGTCTATATATAAACACATATGTGTGTATATGCTTATACACGCATATGCCCAGACACACACTGGGATACCTGAGTATTATTTATGATACTTGCAATATGGCAAAACAGCAGAATGCTTGAGGGCAATGGCAGTGTCTATTGCTGTCATCTGCTTGATGTACTGTGAAAAATACCTTAGGATTGTGAAAAACAGGTTGGCAATTCAGTTACAATGGGTTGTCATTTTGTGTTTTCTCTTGGGTGGAATAGGGGTAATAATAAGAGGAGGATGCACAGTTTCCATGGCTGGAATTTATAAAATAAAGTATCCTATTCTGTTTTCTGTGAAAGGGATTTAGGCGTCTAGGTTTTTGTTTGTTTCTTTCTTTATTTGAAAATCCTAGCTTATATTTGATTATTTTCTTTTCTTTTTTGAGTGAGGTTACAAAAAGTCAAAGTTCAGTGAAGGCTTGTTCATCAGAAACCATTTGTGTTTGTATTGTCAGAGGTTGGTATAACTACTTTATGGGTGGTTTACAACCATTCATAATCTACAAATAGTTTGTTGCCTTTGTGTTGGTTGTCTTATGATTGTTATTGGCTCTCTCAGAGGAAAGGAGGAAGACCACATTAGCCTGAAATAATCTGGATTCACTAGACACATCCTGTGTAAATTTGGCTAAATCCTGTGATTTCTCCGTGATAAGAGCACGTCACTGGGGTTGATGAGATTACACTAAGTGAAAGCTAGGTATGTGCTAAAATGTTGAAATAATAGATGCCAGGATGATACCCAAGATAGCCTGAGGAAGTGTGAAACTATCAGAAAAGGAAGGATTTTCTTACAGCTCTTGGCTTGCTGCAAAAATACAGTTTGTTTTGATGTCTGTTGCTATGAGAAAAATGTTATTGGAGAAGCTTTGTCACGAAGTGCCTTGGCTCAGCTAGCAGAAGTCCAAAATATCTGACTTATGTAGACAGCAAGCGAACATGTAATAATATTCCAGCTACTAATCTTCTTCTTATACCCGGGTAAGGTGGGAATGTGTGTCTGAGAGCTGCTATTTGTAATTGATATGGCCCTTGTGCTTACAGAATGGACTCAATGCTCTGCACCTGGCTGCTAAAGAAGGGCATGTGGGACTTGTACAAGAATTATTGGAAAGAGGGTCAGCTGTGGATTCTGCCACTAAGGTAATTTATGCATGTGTCTCTGTTTTCTTTTTTTTTTACAAAAGAAAAAGTGATATAATGGGATAAATTTGGGGAAAAAATTACATGTACAAAATAAGATAATAAGATAAATACCCCGTTGGTATTTAAAATATTCCTTCTGTTACAGTCTGTGAATCTGTTATTTACTGAGGCTCATCAGTAAAAAAATAAGAGGGAAAGATTATGGTTTATGCAATCTGTTCACAGCAAGAGCACCAAAAAGTTATAGCAATGCCAAGAATCTCATCATTACCAATGACAGTTCCGCATTACAGCAAGAGTGAATATAGCTCAAAATGGTAGATTTTTTTTTCAAATCTGCAGAAATTGGTAAGTAATCCTACCCTGAGCCGTTTCACTCAGGGACACAATGGAAAAAACCTGCAGGATAATATGTTTTGCCTTCCCTATTGGCCATGCAGGTACACCTGAGGATGTCTCAAACGTTCGATCAGGATGTCACTTGTCCTTTGCTGGTAGCATTTTAGGGGCAGACCAGTTTTATAAGCTTCAGGAATGTAGGGCTTGACTCCTGGGCTCGCAAAATGGAAGTCTCTTACAAAAGCAGCGGTCTCATTGCTGCTCTCTGTGAGGGAATGGAACACTTCATCGATGTTCTGCAACCCATCCAAAGGTCAAGGGCTCCTGTCAGCATTGTGCTGCTTCTTGTCCTAATCAAAAATGGCCATTTGTGAATATGAGCAATTCCCCTCTTTTCTGCATATCCTTCTCTTGTATTTCTAGTTCTGTTTATGGATGGATAATTAAGAACTTTTAAAAACAGACATTTTGATTTATGCCAGTTAGAGAAGACAGAACAATTTTGTTTTTCTTCCATATTTAAAGAGTTGTGTTTTGCTACTAAATTCACTTTCTTTTAAGTCTTGTGCTAGGATTTTTTTTTTATAGGATGAGATATCTGGAGCTGAATTTTTAAAAAAAGGCATTAGCTCATGTTAAACTTTATTCTTTACAACATCTCACTCGAAAGTTATGTTGAGGCGTTAGTGTTACCCAACAAGTCAAGGTATCTTTCTTGCTGCCATTATCAATTCTATCCTGCAAGATGTGTATGGAACCTCATGGAACTGTAAGGTAAAACTGTTCTCAAAAAATCAAGGACTGTATGCTGAGTGTTATAAAGAACCACTGAAGTGATTTACATGATAAGAAAAATAATGTCTGTCTTTTTCCCCATAACAGAAGGGGAATACAGCCCTGCACATTGCATCCTTAGCAGGACAGGCTGAAGTTGTCAAAGTTCTGGTTAAGGAAGGAGCCAATATCAATGCACAATCTCAGGTATGATGCTATTTTCACTTCTCTCTTCTAAGAGTTGTTTTCTAAAGTTGTATAAAACTGATCTGAAGTTAGGCAGTAATGCCAAACCTTTTTTTTTATTGCCAGCCCTGACAAATAAGTCATTGTGGCTTAGATGACACTTGCTGGTGTATAAGGAAAGTAAAAATAAATGGCAAATTCAAGTCATGTACCAGTTGTGTGATATATAAGGTTACATTGTTATTGATCGAAATCTCCAAGAATACCTCTTCCTAGTAGGCTTTAATAAATAGGCAATTTCAAAAAATCTGTTAAGTGTAGAAATGTTACATCATATATTTGTCTTGAATTGATGCGCATTAAGAAAATTTATTAAAGATTGGATTTACAGAGTTGCTTTTCATTGTTGTTTGTTGGTTTAAAATTTGAGGACAACTTATTCTGGGTTTCTAAACCCGTTATTTATGTGATCAGAAAGAGTTTACATCAAAGAATAGAATGTACATTTGATCTTGGACAATTTGCCATGTCCTGTCAGGCAAACTAACTGTAAAAAGAGCTCCTTTATTTCCCTTGGCATGAAACTTGTCTTTTCTTCCAAAATGTGCCAGAGACTTGGTGATGCTGCAAAGACTGACTGATAGCCAATGCCAGAAGAGAATCTTTCCTCCCTGATTTGGTCAAGGCTGTGGTGGCAGCTGTATCCCTGACATGATTTTGGACCTGTAAACAATGTGGACTAGATTAGCAGCGAACAACCCTCTACAAATCACCTGGATGATGCTTAGCTTTCAGAGCACTGCCCCTTCTCCTCTACCCTGCTAAGTACATACACCCATTACACCATGTCACAATCTACCCCGTTTGGACGCAATTTATGCAATTTTTGGTTACTGTTTGCAAATGGTACATTCTTAACCGTGGCAACTGTCTGTAGCTATGGAGAACTGAGCAGATGGTGTAGGTGAGGATATTTTAAAGAAACTGCCATCTTAATTCAAACAAGGTGTTTTGAAGTCTAGTCAGCTCATGACATTCTCAAAAGTAAATCATCAAGCTAACTGATGCTGTTCATATTGAACTTGGTTGCATCATTCAATAACGACAAATGCCATTGGTACAGCAATGATATAAATTAAGACAATGAGAAAAACAAGTTGTGCTTCAGGGGTAGATTAATCTCGGATTACATTTTCCTGGAACTTACTGTTTAGGGACAGTACGAAAGATTTTTTGCTTGTTGTTTCTGGGACATGTGAACAGAACAAGAAAAGAACGATCTGATTTAACAGGGCAGTTAGGAACTGCCTGGACAGAAGAGAATGTCAGGAAGCAAAGCTGGGGCTGCCTGAGATGCTTTTCTTGGCTCTGGTTTATAGAGCATCCCTAATCACTAGCAGCACAGCCAAGCTTGTGACAGGATGTGTCAATCCCAAATCTGACTGGCTTAACATCTTCCTTGTCTAGATCTGGGAAGCTGGTGGTGGTGGTTGTTTAGTGGTGGTCGTATTGTTGTTTTCTGCTGTTGGATGCCCCAAATACATGGTGGATGACATAAATTAAATAGAAGGCCACAAGTAAATAGAGGGCAGTAGATGAACCAGTAACGCGAACCAGCTACAAATGATCAGGTGTATTTCTGATGTCTCTGTATTTCCAGACACAGCAATTGAAAACGTCTTTAAGCTGCCTTGAGTCCAAGATTTCTTCTTATTATTATTACTGTGTTTTCTGCCATGAAGCTTGTGCTAAAGAGGCTTAGGACAACTGATGGTTGCTTCCCATGCTCTACTTCCATTTAATTTAAGTTAAGGACTGCTCTAATTCCTTTGCTCAAAACTATAGCAAACACCTTTCTTAACATCCTAATTGAATAATTTCTGCCTACTTTTTTCTGCCTTCTTATGTGTATAAGAAGGTAAAGTCTTTAATGTTAGGGTTACACAGTGGTAAGAGAAATTATCATAAAACTGTTACTGTCATGAAGCATTACCCCTCAAAAAGCTTTCAGGAAGGCCTTTCCTTATGTTGGAAAAAGAAATAATGTTTTCTAAGTATGAAAAAAATCCTGACAGACTAAGAAATTGTTTTTATTAGTAGTATTTTATCTGCTGTTCTAGTTTTAAACATATTTATTGTTAGCACTGAATGTTCTGAGCCTGTTAGCAGGCATTTATTTCCTGCTTGAATTGCCATGCAAGTGGAATTGACTCGGAGGAGAGCACACACATTCAGAAGATGACAATGGGCAACCCAGCGTCAGCTCTTCATCCTTTCCACAGGAATCTGTACTTATGTGGCAGGAGCTCAAGAATTTAGAGTAATGGGAGAGAGATGGAACGTTACCAACATACTCAAAACATCTGCAAATGAAGGTGACTTTTGACGTGATCTTAAGGGAAACGCCAAAGACAGCTGTAGACTTGACAGTAATCAAGAAAGATGAAATATAGGACTTGAATTAGTGTTTATAAATTAATTATGTCATGGCTGGCACTACCCATGCAGGAACAACAGGCGAAGATGAACCACGGGAGCCCTCTTGAGCTGCCCTTCCCTGCAGGCAGTTTCTATGCCAAGCCTTTCAGGCCTGGTCTTCATGCCTCTGCTCCTGCCTGGAGCAGCGTGGCTTTCTGGGACAACAGGCTGGAGCCAAAGGCTTGTGCCACTGCTGGTGAGGAGCTTCAGGTGGAAGGTGTGTCCTTCATAGGGCCCTTCTGTCGTGCCCTTTTCTGGGCAGAGCTTGGTCAGTAACAGTAGTAAACAGGAGCACGCTGAGTGCGAAGCAAACTACCTAGAGTACGAAGCAAACTACCTAGATCTAGCTTCTTCTTAACCAACGTTGAATCAACTTGAGTAATTAACATATTTGTTCAGTGCTTGAAATACTCCGTGTGTGCACTTGTTTTTTCATGAACCTGCAGTGTGGTTTTGTGACTGAACAGGTATTGCCTGGAAAGCGTGTGCTGTTTGGGTCAAGGCTGTGAACGGACCCCTGAAAGCTTGATTTTGGCTTTTCCCGAGACTTTCCATGAGACCATGGAAGTCAAAGTTAAGGTTATATGGAAGTTATGGAGAAAAAGGAAATGACTGAAGGGAATGTGCTTGAACACTTGGTTATTACACTTTCTGTCAGGAAATACTTCGCAGTTGAAAAGACTGATAACTGTGATAGTGGTGGTAGAGAAAATCCTGCCAGGAAATGGGGTTAATGGAGGAATTTAGAAATGGACAAATATACAAAATTGGAGAAAAAAAAGAGTAAGGAATTATGACTGAAGTGCTCAGTTTCTCTTTCTTATGTTTTATCTCAATTCTAATTTTAAAAATAGAAGCTACATTGTCACTCATAAATCTTTAAGAAACAGTTGTTGATACTGAGGGTGCATTTTATCATCTCCTTGGTATCTATTATTTCATGCTTAATTTTTTTTTTCAGGCCTTTGCCAAATACCATTCAGTGGCAGTTATCTAATGCCATTGAACTAAGTCAACTTGTTCCGTAGGTTCCTCCTTAAAGAATCTGTCATGGTCATTTTCGCTTCTAGTGATAACAATTTGCCATAGTGATAGAATTACTTCATTGATTGCAGACTGATAGGTAAAAGATGTCAATTGCAGTTTGAATTTGCCATAGTGATAAAATTACTTCATTGATTGCAGATAGGTAAAAGATGTCAATTGCAGTTTGTTCAACTTACCGTTTTCCTTTTTCAGTTAAATTGTATAAAACATTGCCCTTTATCAAAGCTTAGCAACACCACCATCTGAAACCCTGCATTGATTTTTTTCAGTCCCTTAGACCAATGAAATAACATAATTGTCTCAGAAAATGTTATTAAAAATTTGCAGCCACAGAGATTACAAAACCCATCTGTACTATCTGAAGCTATTAAGGATTCAAGGACTTTCACTTTATGGATTTTGTTTTTTTATTAATATATTTTCCCCATCAGTATTCTGTTGGTTTTTCAGAGCTGTTTTGCTCATCTTCGTATCTCTTTAAAAATGTGTTCCTTTTGAGCTAATACGTCATCACTGTTATTTTTAGAAAAGTAATTTCTATTTTGATACAAAGCTTAATTGCACAGTGATTACTAATTGAATGATTCCACTTTCACCTGAATGCATATCATTTGAGAGCTGACATCTTAAGTATGTCTCAGGCAAATGATGAAATGAGAGCAAACTCAGAAACAACCAGAGAGATCTGGAAATTACTGCTTTGGGGTGTATCTCCAACCAGAACTCAACAAGTCTGCAATTATTTGGCTCTGTTAGGGTTGCCTTTTGCATGATGCTACAAATATTACTGGACAAAATACATTTATAGGATGAATATCTATAAAACATTCACCTGGTTCAGTGAGCAGTTCTAGATAAGCTTCATCTAATCATCAATCCATTAGTAGCTGCAAATTCTCTTCTTGATTTGACCATGTTTTCATCATGTCCAAATTGATCATACTATAGTCACTGAGAATACTAAGCCTGGTCTAGTGACTGAATGGCACAAACGAAAACATACCACAGATAATCACAGGTCTACTGTGACTTTCAGATTTGTTTTGTCCATATTACTCCTTTCAGCTTTGGTTTTATTTCCTTGAAGAGCAGAACAGGGTCATCCCATGGTATGATGTGACCATTTGCAATATGTATTCCCTTGTGCTGATGATCCCCTAGGTACTACTGAATGTCAAAATGAATTACAAAAAAATATTTAGGAACCATTTAAATGTGTCATTGTCCAAAAGCAGGAAAGTAACATGGTTTTTTATTAATTTCTCTTAAAGTTCAGTTGTATCACATAGAGGGGTCAGAGATGTTTGGTTAGAATGGTAGTCTGCCAAATGTGACAATATCCTTACTGCACTATTCTTGATTAGTAAGCCTATCTGTAAGCTATCCCCTACTGCAGTAAAAATGATATATTCTGACTACGTGTGTTATCAAATGGATACATCCTGACCTTCATCCATTTCAAACGAGGTTAAAAAGTATAGCCCAATGAAGAATTG